ACATACACACACACGCATGCATACAGACACACACACACACACTTACACACACACACACACATACACACACCCACACACACACACACACACACACACACACACACACACACATTCACTCCACTGACAAAGGGTTCAATCCTGGTAAAAGTCGATAGAATGAAGAATCACACAATTTCTAGTACATTATTATGTACAGCGGAATCAGTTTGATATAATAACACGTTTAATATGAAAACGGTAGAAGCACGAAAGAAAAGAAAAGGCTCGATTTTTTCCCCTTCGATTTGAGCAATCTCTCTTACTTCAGCGAAAATCTGGCTAAGCAAAAGAGAATCCAGCGGTCCCAGATATTTATATTAAAAAAAAATCATAATATTAAATAATAATAATAATACATATAATAATATTATTATTGAAAATGATCTGCGTTTAAACGTGTTTATCTGAAAACCTGGAATGAATTCCCGAAAAAAAAGAGAAAGCAGCAAAGAGCAAAGAGGTTATCTGAAGGGTCAGTTATAACGCTGTACATTCAGGGTGACATAATACACAGTATAGTCCAACTCTTGATCTCCTGTCTCTAACTGTGTTTCGTTCATACGTCGGTCTGTCTATTCGTCAAGTTTTCTGTAGGATTTTTGTTACTGTCTGTCTGTCTGTCTGTCTGTCTGTCTTTCTCTCTCTCTCTCTCTCTCTCTCTCTCTCTCTCTCTCTCTCTCTCTCTCTCTCTCTCTCTCTCTCTCTCTCTCTCTTTCTCTCTGTTCCTCTTGCTTTCTCTCATCCCTCTCCCTCCCTTCTCTCTCACGCACTCTCACGCACTCTCACATTCTCTGTTTCCTTAACTATTTTTTCACACGTACGCATGCACAAAGAAATGAATACACACATGTACAAACTAGTAATTAGTACGTAAGTGCCAACTTACACGGATTTCCTCTTCCAGCGCAAAAACAGATCGTGTAATTCTTATCTTTCCAACACATGACGCCTTTCACACAAACTCGAATTTTTATGTCTCTTTGCAATCTCAGCAACACTACTGGATTTTGTAATTGTTCAAGTGCTTGTGTATTATATTGGTAAATGTTTTACACTCCCATCAAGACAATTTAGATCATTTCTGGGATGAGCTGTTTCGAACTTGCCTGTCAGGGCCGACAATTGTGGGCTGGATTGGTTTAGAGTTTTACAGCAATTTCTTTTCTGTGATATTATCTGGTCCTGCGGTTTTCCCTTGTTTCATTTTTTAAAATGGCAGATTAAACATCTGCTTTCAACATTGATGGTCTACCTTCTTGCTTTATTATCGGTTTTTCTCCTCTATTATCTTTGAAGAGTCAAAGGAAACCTGGATATATGATCAGTGTCAGCAAATAGAGAAGAATCTAAACAAAGATATCGTACACATGCATTCCAAAATCAAAGAAGCACAATATGGAAATGAGATTAAAGAATTCTCAAACTCGACGTGTGTAAGATCACAAGAAGGGGGTATTTTAATGAACAAAGGGGATTTCTTAAACTACAGATAGTCAGGGGGCTCTCGTGGCCTAGAGGTTAAGGTGTTGGCCTCTCATTCAAAAGGTCCCGGGTTCGAATCCGGGTGGAGACCGAAAAATTTTCTTCTCTAAATTTGTGTCCTTTCACCTCATTTCCTGCTCTCTAGCAATGTTCTGTCGTCTGCTTTCGTCTCCTCTTTCTGCCCCCACCCCTTCACCTCCTTTGCCCCTTCCTCTGGGCTCCTGATTCTTTCTGCAGCCTTTCTACTGCTACTCCTTCGCTTCTTCTTACTGCTGTCTTTCTGCCACACCCCTGATCTTCTGGTAGGAAAGATCTATACCTAGCCTTCTCGGACAAGGGCGAAAAAATCTCGGAGGGCCCGTGTGCAAGTTGCGCACGTTAAAGATCCCTTGGTGGTCTAAAATCAATAAGAGTAGGCTTCGGCCGCAATCCGCGCAAAATTCAAAATTTCCTACCAACAGAAAATATTAGGTGTGTCCCGCGCGCTCATATGACCTTATGCACTTTACAAAAACCAAACAAACAAAACAGATAATCAGAATACATGGACACGCACACACATAAACGCACACACACAGATTCGCGCGCGCGCACACACACACACACACACACACACACACACACACACACACACACACACGCACACACACATACACACACATACACACACACGCATGCATACAGACACACACACACACACTTACACACACACACACACATACACACACCCATACACACACACACACACACACACACACACACACACACATTCACTCCACTGACAAAGGGTTCAATCCTGGTAAAAGTCGATAGAATGAAGAATCACACAATTTCTAGTACATTATTATGTACAGCGGAATCAGTTTGATATAATAACACGTTTAATATGAAAACGGTAGAAGCACGAAAGAAAAGAAAAGGCTCGATTTTTTCCCCTTCGATTTGAGCAATCTCTCTTACTTCAGCGAAAATCTGGCTAAGCAAAAGAGAATCCAGCGGTCCCAGATATTTATATTAAAAAAAAATAATAATTAAAAAATAATAATAATACATATAATAATATTATTATTGAAAATGATCTGCGTTTAAACGTGTTTATCTGAAAACCTGGAATGAATTCCCGAAAAAAAAGAGAAAGCAGCAAAGAGCAAAGAGGTTATCTGAAGGGTCAGTTATAACGCTGTACATTCAGGGTGACATAATACACAGTATAGTCCAACTCTTGATCTCCTGTCTCTAACTGTGTTTCGTTCATACGTCGGTCTGTCTATTCGTCAAGTTTTCTGTAGGATTTTTGTTACTGTCTGTCTGTCTGTCTGTCGGTCTGTCTTTCTCTCTCTCTCTCTCTCTCTCTCTCTCTCTCTCTCTCTCTCTCTCTCTCTCTCTCTCTCTCTCTCTCTCTCTCTCAGCTGGGAGGACAAGGTAAGCAGCATTGGTTTAGTAATTTAAACAAAAGTCTGTGTACATGTGTGTGTGTGTGTGGGGGGGGGGGGGGTTGTTCAGCCTAGTCACAAATCTGTTAAATATCTCGAGGTTTATAACATTTCGATTGCTTATACCAAGCACTGATGTCTGGAACAGACTTTGCAAATCTGTCTAAGTTCCAAAGCCGTTGACACATTTGGCATATTGACACAGCCTCATACCTGTTTTCCAGGTATGGTGGCTTTATTCCAGTTAGCAGATAGTCCTCGTAGATTGTGAAATACTTGTCCTTTTCTGCCAAAATTTGTATATATTCCTGGTCATGAGAGTCGAGGTGTATTAATCTCTTAGCCAGCTCTTTTGGGGACTTGTAGTCGGCAGTGTTGATAAAAATTTCAGACGGTGCAATGTTTGAATATTCTCCAATTCCTCTAGCTACTAGCACTGTGTCGAGGTTAAGGTATTTGTAGAATTTTTCTGTAATATAATTATCACAAAAAGAGTTTTCAAACCCTAAATAAAACGTGTAATCCCTGCTTAATATCTGGTTGCATTTTGCGTCCAGTTTCCGGGGACATTTGAGGGGAGAAGAGCCACCGAAAATATCCACAGGGATGTACTTCTGCAGCTCTCTCACGTATTCGTCCCTCTTGCTCTGAGCGCCCTTGTGCGAGACCATCCACACGGCCATCTTGGATTTCGACGCCACAATCTCCGTGTAGTTCTTGTGGTGCGGAACTGGCCGTCTTCGGAGCAGAGCGTAGTAGGATTGGATATCCGAGTCCATCCGGTACGACATGGTCCAGTTGAACACACCCAGCCACTGACTGGTGTTCAGGCGGTAGCGTGGAAAGACATGTCTGTGAAGGGTCGGCGGTTCTATCTGGTAGTAGACGAAGATTTGTTCGGGGCGGCGGGCAGGGGGAGGCTCCTCTACGAATTGGCCTTGGAGAGAAAGGAGAAAAAACAACAAAAACACCGACACACAACAAAGTCATGAAGATTGTTTTAGAACAAGAAAAAGTTAATAGTTCCTGAGATGTTTTTCAGCAGTTCAAAAGGAGATACACTCACGCGTGCACGCACGCACTGCGCACGCACGCACTGCGCACGCACGCACGCACGCACGCACGCACGCACGCACGCACATATACACACACAAACCCCTATTTGAACGCCGTTGAAAACGCAACACTTCGTGCGCAGAGTCTGAACACGTCTGTATCAAATGAAGATAATACATTAAAAGAAGCGTTTTTTGAAGTGTATTTAATTTCCAACAAATGTGAACCATTTTGATCGCACACTTAAACTGATTTTGATACATTGTCTTCCTTCTTTCGGAGTAGCCTACCCCCTTTAGGCACATTTGCAGATAAACACGAATCGAAACTCAATAAAGACCTCTCACTCTTAGTAAATTGTATGGCCATCATTAAGATGTACATGTATACAGACTTCTTCACAAGCATTTTTAAAAATAACATTGTCTATGTTTTGTTGAGAAATTCTGTCCTACTTTCGAGGCAGCGCGATCTCCCAATAGCTGCAGATTCGCAAAACAGCAAATGCTTTGCGGTTCAGTTCTTCCCATACGTGCGCTGTTGGAGACATGCCCGGTACTAACACTGGCCAGTCCTTGACATTAATGTTATGATCTTCCAGAAACTGCATTGTTTGTTAAATATGCAGTCTAGGGGCAGGAGTGTCGAGTTGGGTGACTGAGAGATTCTGATTTTTTCTTCGTGCTGTTTCGCACCGTGAAGACGGCGCTGTTGTCGTGGCTTCGCTAATTGCAGTCCTAAATAAGGCGTTCTTGATCTAAGTCCTGAACTTACTACTCCGCGCCTCACGCTGATGAAAGAAACAATTTTCACGCACTCCATGCATGCCTTGAGCCGTTGCTTTTGAGGAACGAAACGATTTCGCATATATGCGACAGCAAAATCTGCCTCTCTTGAACAGAGCTGGCCACTAGAGACTGTCCTATTCTTTGTCCGTCCCGGACATTACAAGTGTGCTAACATCTAAGTGTAAGTCGATAACAATACAATACAAGCAATGCGTTTTAGCCGTATTGCTGCTTCTCAGGCAGATTTTCTGCGATGAACCGTGCGGAAGCGACAGCAGTGGCAATCAGCCTCGCTCAGTTGAGGAGTCTTGTAATGGAAGGAAAAAAAAGATCGAATAAAAGCTAGGACTTTTGTTTGAAAAGAGCTACGGGTCAATTTTCAGGTAAATAATTTTAAATTCTGTTGTAATGTAGCACTAATGAGCACATTTGACTAAAGCATCGTTTACTGTATTGTCATGAAAGGTACTCATGGAAATAGCAGAATTAGTGAATGGGTGTGTGGACTAACATCTGCTCACTTGTGTCTCCAAAAATCGTGACGATTGGAGCTTATTTTTGGCCTAAAAACATTTCTTTGGAAACGTTGCATTTTTAATGGCGTTCAGTATATTAATATATATATATATATTATATATATATATCTATCTATATATTTATATTTATATATATATATATATATATATATATATATATATATATATATATATATATATATATATATATATATATATATACAGTCGAACCTGCCCTGACGGCCACCTCTATAAGACGGCCACCTGTACAAACGGCCACTTTCCATTTCCCCCCTTGCGTTTTTTCTATATAATTTAACTGTGTAAAACGGGCACCTGTCCAACGCGGCCGTGGCCACCATATTTTAACACACAACCCATATCACACTAAGCAAAAACACCTGTCTTAGACGGCCACCTTAGTGACTCCATTACGTTTTGTCATAAATTGTGCATTGGCCCCTGGCGTTGTGGGCGAGCCGTCATAATTCAATCACCTGTCGTTGTAGTTAGGTAGTTCCTCCAATTGATCATGTTGCGTAGGCCCCTCCCACTGTTGACCAATAGGTAGGCTACCAATTTTCAGCTGCTGGTGAGGTAAGCGTGTGATCCCTCATAACCCATAAGCGACGCCCAGAACTCATACACAAATCGTAAGTGAGATGAGTGGTCACTGTTTACCCAGTCTGTAACAAAGTAACAAAGGACGTCAACATGAACTTGTGACAGAAGCGTCTATCGTTCTCCGAGTGGTGGCGACCCATGTGTTTGTTTTAACATGGCACTCGATTCTTCCTTATCTGATACATTTCGTTTTATTGTCCCCCTTGTGCAAAATCAGCAACAAAATAAAAATTACAAACAAAATACAAACTAACAGCAAAAACAACAACAATGCGGCTACTTTCGATTGGGACCTCAGATGGGAATGGTTTTTCTTCTTTATCTTGATCAGCCCTGCCTAAGACGGCCACCTGTCTTATACGGCCACTTTTCTCCTTGACAATGGGTGGCCGTCTTACACAGGTTTGACTGTGTATATATATATATATATATATAGTTTAAACTCGTGATGTTTGCGCTATAAATCACATCACAGTCCCAAGTCTGAAATGCAAAAGGGAAATGATGATGCAAAGAAAGAGCGAATAATGAAAAAGAAAAACCCAAAAGGAGACAGGAAATGCCAAATCTAGGCTATACAAAAGTATGCCAAGTGCTTTGTGAGTTACGAAGATGTTCTCAGACAACCCGGAATTTAAATCATATTTTACTTAAAAGAAATTCAATATGAAGAAAACAATAAAGCTGGCAGTAATACAAATATCATATCAGATGCATTTTTCAACCACATGCAGGGATTTATCACAGACCTTTAGACTTACATAGATATATTTGAATGATATTGTAGGCTATTATGTAATAAGAAAAAACAAACAAATATTAACCAGAAGAGGAAACCGACTTACCATTGACGATTATAGCAGAACTTGTAGCTGTGTACTTTCTCTCTGAGGTGATGAGGCAGGGGAAGTCAGGGCACATACGCAACGGTTTTAGTCCTAGAATTGGGCCTGTGTGCGCCTTGTCTTGCCACCACAGTATTATTTTTTGCCAGTCTTGGAGCTTTTGGTTCTTTACCCTCGCCTCCTCCCTGACAGAACGAAAGGATTTCACTCTGTGAGACCTACCCTCGAAGAAGAAATCCTCTTTAAACGGTACGTTTGGTTCGAATTCACTTGAGTATAGAGAGTTATTTTTTGGTTCGTGGAAAGGAAACGATCTGTACTCTACGCCATTTTCTCTCCATGTTGCCTTTCTTTTTTCGATGAGGTGAGGATTAAGGCCAAATGATGATCTTATGAACTCTTCTTTCCATTCTTTGCCAACCAAATTTTCAAGATCGTAAATGTGCCTGGTGACAGGAGCGTAAGGAGGAAGGGGCTTAATCCTTAACTTTAAAAACGTGTTCAGATGTTCGGGGTATGTCGACAGGTTTGATGTTATCCGCAGGTTGAATGCACCCCACGACCGTGATGTGAACTTACCCCACGGCTGCGATGTGAATACACCCCTCTGTTGCCAAGGAGACGTCCACGCTTGTTGCCAGGAGACTTCCGGCTTTCCTCTGGTGAAGGCTCGCAGTTGGTTCGCCATTTTGAGGATGATCGAGGTAGCAGAGAGTAAGGTCAAAGCGAAGATTAGAATGCGGATGCGGCGGTGAAACATCTTGGATGGTTCTGGAATACAAATGGGATTGGAAAAAAATCTAAAGGAAAGCAAATGTAGGGGAGTTGTTCAATAAATAGATTACTTAGGACCCTTGAGAAAAGTTCGTCGAAAAGCGGTCTGGATGGGTGAAACGAAGACGCATTTTAAAAATATCATCATTTGCAAGTGCCAGACGTGAATGAAACACACAACGGTGATCATAGTTCTCAATTCATTTCTTCGCTCGAGATCAGATGCTCCCAAAAAATCTCACATTCCATTGGTGTTTTCCCGTCACCCAACTATTCAGGTTTTCTAAATATGCCACGATACGGTGGAATCAGGTGCTCGTCAATTTGTAGGCATATTGAGTCATTTGTATAGACCCTATTTTTAAAGCAAATGCATATGCCTTTCTTTTGGTGTAAAGAATGTCCATTTTTCATGAAAACAAGTCGAGATATTTGAAATTTGAAGGACGCGGCGGTCACCAGGTGTCAGAGGTTAAAACGGCTAGAAAATGACCGCCAAATTTAGATTTCAAATTTGTCTGTTTTTGTCTAGCCTTTCACGGCCAGAAGCCGATGTCCTAATCAGGTCATTACAAACAGTGCCTCCATGGCATTCTCATAAGTACTCTAATATATAAGTAAGTTGTCTACCTTGCTGCTCTAGTTTTTAGTCGTTAGTATGTAACTAGTGATGTACCTACAAAAACTTTTTGCGCCATCTGAAAGTTTTATTCCTGTTTGAAAATACATTCCTTCTTGGATTTTACTGAAAACGTTGATCAAAGGCACCAAAAAATGTTAATTTTCAGTTTCCAAGGGAACTATAGTTTTGGACATCACCAAACTTTGGTGGCGCTTTTCTAACTAATTTTACCTCTGACATCAGGCGACCCACACCTGCTTTATTTGCAAATATCTTGACTTCTCGTTTTAGAGAGATGGATATTTTTCGTGAAAAGCAAGACAAATGAATAAGCTTTATGACGATACCAATACATTATATGTCCAGAAATGAGGATTGTCTGATTCCATCGCGTCGGGACACATCTGTCTCATTCAAACATTGGTAGGCCTTTTCGAACTCGTCATGAAACAAGAACGCTTGTCACTGTCTCACAAAAACATTGTCCACCTCTTGGCATACTGTTAAATTAACTGAACAAAAGACAATTCATTATAACCAAGAATATGTTAACTGGCGTCTGTAGTGTAGGGACTACATAGACGCTTCACTGTTACACGCAAAAGACCCGAGATCGATTCCCGTGTGGAGAGAATTTTTATCGAGGATCTCGGTCTTTCCGCTGGGACGTTGTATCCCTATCAGCCCGGGTTGGCCCTGACAGGTAAGGTTGAAGTTGAAGTCCGCCTCCTAAATAATCTAATTTTTGTCTATTGGGGCGTACAGACACCAGCATCTAAAAAAAATAAATAAATAAACACAGCGTTCACACAGACTTTGATTTAGTGCATCATGTCACACAACCACATTACTGAAGAGCGCCAAAACCCACATGTATTTTGATACTCCTTCATAATTATGCTACACCAGGGGCGGTTCCTGGGGCTAGAAGTAGACGTGCACGATTAAGCTATCGCATGCTGAAGATAGTCAAGGGCATACTAAATGAGACGGTGTATTATCATAATTTTAAGATTTAAGTTGGTGAGGGAGGACCTCGTGCTTTTATTTTCATTCTTTTTACTTGTCGCTTTAATTTCTAGTTCTAAATTTGTTTGTTAGCTAAACACCAATTTCGTTCCTCCTGCATTGGAATTGAACACTCAAGTAATAAATTTCACTACTCAACTACAAAACCATTCAAAGGCACAACTCTTAGGACAGTCACGCGCACCTCCCTCAGGTTCACGATCACAGAGTCACTTAAAATAGTGGCAAGACAGACAATGAACCAATCACAATTCACTTGAGCACTCCGCTGGATTGCTCCGGGGCTCACATAATATTGGCAAAGAATAGCGTACGGTTTATCCCGTTTATTTTTTAGACTTCCTACTGTGGGCTATGTTTCGGCACTATTCGACAGGAGCACATCTGAGATGTGCCGTCTTACTGATATTAATGTACCGCCAAACTCGCTACGAGTGTCGTCATCGCTTGGGTTATCCCCAAGAGCGATTTATAAGTCAGGTTACACTGTTGAATACATGCATCCTGTTATGTTTAGCTAATGCGCGTTAACTTTGGCGTGGCATAGTAGATGTTTTACGGCGCTATAGACACAGAAATGACAGTTATGGTGCCAGTGAGGACCCTGTTTTGATAAAATACTTGGCTAGTGTTTGTTTTTGGCTTCTTTTATTTCATTATTGTGGGTGTAAAAAAAAAAAATAGAACATTAAAAAAATTTGGGCGGCACTGCTCGACCGTGCTCTGTGGACGAACCGCGCCTGTACACAGTACATATACTGCATTCTTCCTACCGTTTTCCTCCCTGATGATCTGCAAAAATCTGAAAAACCTCCTACATAATAGGTCTCTTTCCAAGACATCTATGCTTCTCCTAGAACCATGAAAATTCTATTTAGTTATGCGGTTCCCACAGTGTCCCAAGAGAAAGAAGAACGAAGTCGATGAAACAAACTCCTACAGCTCTGTTAGGAATCTAACGAACGTTTTTGAGGTGTGATTTGAAGAACTTAACCATTGCACCACGAAATCTGCAACTGTAATGGTTAATAGCCTCAGGGGGTAAATAAATACTGGAAATATAGCCACCGATAAGTTGGCTTTCCGAAGCGTTGGTAATGTGCAGAACACAAGAACTCTGTTTCCTTTTGACATTTTTTGTTCTTAACCGTTCAATACAGTGGGGAAAAGTTTGTCTTTCATCCGGGTGCCCATTGGTCAAAACTATCTGCATTGCATGGCCAGGTCGTATCGGGCGGGTCGATTAAAGGCGGTGCCAGTGCATGCTATTTCAATAAATAATGGATCTCTACTTTACTCCAGCAAATCTGACCAGCACTCAAATGAAAGACCAGACTCAGCGATGCGTAGCCTATATAGTAGCCTTCTGGTTGGTTGTTTTCGCAAAATGATAGCAAATGCTTCTAGATCTAATAAATGTCCAAGATTTTGAAGGATATTTTGATGAAAGTGTTCCATAATGGTAGCTTTTGTCTTACCATGAAGGTAAACCTGACCACTCTCAAATGTATCAAATGAAAATTTGACACAAAACTCAACTCTTACAAGTCAACATGTCGACTGGCTAGATGCTGAACTACTGTTTTGTCTTGTTTTCTTCAGTCATCAGATCAGCTTGCCTGTACCTCAACTGCACGCTTACCAGTATACTCATAGGTACAATATATTAAATTTTCATTATTTTCTTATTATATTTGTGGGTATTGCTTGTCTGTGATTTAAAACCTATCTTTTTTTAAATGCTAGAAATGCTAATGTTTACACATTTCTAACTGAACTTGCTGCAACAATTCAGGGAATAGGTGTTGCATCGTAGTGAAATCAGGCGCTGGTCAAAATAGTGAACTCGAAGAAACCTACACTTCTCCTCCCATTAGGCAATTTTTATTGGTTTTTTTTTACTTGGGTTCG